AAGGTCATGGGTGAACCCTGAGAGGCCCTGTGCTGTGGAGTAGAAGGAGGTTAGAGCTGAGGCAGTGAAACTGTGGTCCGAAGTTGTGATGAGATCAGACATTACACAGTGGTGTGCACATCTGGAGGGAGTGTGAGCTGATGGTACTGGAAACCTGGTATTGGGACTTTTTTTTTTTTAAATAAAATATATTTTATTGATTTTTTTTTACAGAGAGGAAGAAAGAAGGATAGAGAGAGAGAATCATTGATCAGCTGTCTCTTGCACACCCCCTACTGGGGATGTGCCTGCAACCAAGGTACTGGACCTTTCAGTACGCAGGCCAATGCTCTATCCACTGAGTCAAACCGGTCCTGGCAAGAAATACATATTTTAATTGATTTCATAGAGGAAGGGAGATGGGGAGAGAGAAGAGAGAGAGAAACATCATTGATGAGAGAGAATCATCCATAGGCTGTCTCTGGAAGCCCAGTACTGTGTATGGAGTCTGCAACTCAGGCATGTGTCAGTGATTAGAATCCAATCCGGGATCTTTCAGTCCATAGTCCATTACTCTATCCCTGAGACAAACCAGCTAGAGCTTCTATTCGGACTACAGGATGAAGCATAAACCCTTGGCTTTGTCTGGGAGGCATGATCTGGGAAAATGCAGTGGTATTGCTTGGCAGGAAGGCTGGGGCCCTGCAAGCATGGCCCAGAGCTTAGATGGTGTTTCTCTGCTGTCCCCCTTCCCAACCCATGTGTTGTGCTGAGGGCAGTCAAAGCGACTGTTTTAAGAAAGCACCAACACAGGCATTAGGACCTGGTGTCCACATTAAACTGGGAGCCCTTGAGGAGGTTGAGGGTGAGGAAGATGTGTAGGGGGTAGGATTGCTGGTTCTCAAAATTTCTACTATGGTTTCAATTATCTCAATTCTGACAGGTTGGTGTGACCTTTGAGGACATTGCCCTGTACTTCTCCAGGGAGGAATGGAGCCTCCTTGATGAGGGTCAGAGGCATCTATACTTGAATGTGATGCTGGAGAACTTTGAACTTATATCTTCCCTGGGTAAGACCCTCATTCTGGCTGGTTCCTGGTACTTATCTTTGCATTTCTTTTCTTTTTTTAAAAAAAAATATATATATATTATTGAATTTTTACAGAGAGGAAGAGAGAGGGATAGTTAGAAAAATCCATGAGAGAGAATCATCGATCAGTTGCCTCCTGCACACCCCCTACTGGGGATGTGCCCACAACCAAGGTACATACCCTTGATTGGAATCGAACTTGGGACTCTTCAGTCCGCAGACTTGCTCTATCCACTGAGCCAAACCGGCTTCGGCTCTGATATTTTTTTTTTAACTGATGGATTATTCTAAGATTTTTTTTGTTTCCCATCTTTTTTTTTTATATAAAATATATTTTATTGATATTTTACAGAGAGGAAGGGAGAGAGATAGAGAGTTAGAAACATTGATGAGAGAGAATCATCAATCAGCTGTCTCTTGTACACCTCCTACTGGGGATATGCCCGCAATCAAGGTATATGCCCTTGACAGAAATCGAACCTGGGACCCTGAGTCCACAGGCTGATGCTCTATCCACTGAGCCAAACCTGTTTCAGCCTTGTTTCCCATCTTACATTTAAATCCTTTATCCATTTTGAGTTTTTTTTTGTATATGGTGTAAGTTAGTGGTCTGATTTATTTTTATTGATTTCATAGATAAAGGGAGAGGGAGAGAGAGAGATAGAAACATCCGTGATGAGAATCACTGATTGGCTGCCTCCTGCACACCCCTTACTGGGGATTGAGCCAAAACCTGGGCATATGCCTTTGATTGGAATTGAACCTGGGACCTGTCAGTCCTCACGCCAACGCTCTATCCATTGAGAAAAACCAGCTAGGGCTCTTATTTATTTATTTATTTATTTATTGCATGTATCTGTCCAATCTTCCCAGCACCATTTATTGAGGAGACTATCTTGACTCCATTGTATGCTCTTGCATTTTTTGTCAAATACTAATTGAGCATTATGGCTTGGGTCGATCTCTGTGTTCTGTGTTCCGTTCCATTGGACTATATTTCCGCTGTTGTGCCAATAGCAGGCAGTTGTGTCAATTACAGCATGCCAGCAGATGTTCCCATCAAAGCCATTGGTGTGCTGGCAGTAAATCAAAGATGGAGACAAAGGTTGTCTTTAGTCCAGGGATGAAGCTTTTGTGTAATTGGGTGAAAATTCATTGTTATATTTTCTGTCACTAAGATGAGACTCACCCAGAGGGAATAAGTATGGGGATTGAATATAGAGTTCCCAAACCTTTTCTTCCAAAATAGGTAAACATTACATTTGTTTTACCTTGAACCATTGTTAACAGATACAATGAGTAAAATACATGTGTTAATTTTGACATTTGCATGAAACTGAAACCATCATTGCATTCATAATGATAGACATATATGTCTCTTGTAATTGCTACAGACCTCTTTTAACCTCTCTGTTCTTCCCAGCTTTCCTAGTTCCCATGGATTTACATTCCATTTTCTTTCTTTTTTTACAATATATTTTGCTGATTTTCTACAGAGAGGAAGAGAGAGGGACAGAGAGTTAGAAACATCAATGAGAGAGAATCATCGATCAACTACCACTTGCACACCTCCTACTTGGGATTTGCCCGCAATCAAGGTACATGCCCTTATACCGGAATCGAACCTGGGACCTCTCAATCCTCAGGCAGACACTCCATCCACTGAGCCAAACCGGTTTCGATTACATTCCATTTTCATCAAGAACTTTATTTTTCCCAGTGTTTTTCTACTTTAATTTATGTTTCATAAATACTTGGAGATTTATTAAAGTTACATTAGTAGCTCATCTTTTTTTTTGATATTCATTTTTAAAAATATATTTTATTGATTTTACAGAGAGGAAAGGAGATGGGCAGAGAGTTAGAAACATTAATCAGCTGCCTCCTGCATACCCCTACTGGGATGTGCCTGCAACCAAGGTACATGCCCTTGACCGGAAATAGAACCTGGGACCTTTCAGTCCGCAGGCTGACACTTTATCCTCTGAGCCAAACCAGTTTTGGCCTGACTGGGAATCTAACCAAGGACCTCTTTGTGCATGGGTTGATGCTCAACACTGACTCATACTAGCCAGGTGATTCATTACTTTTCATTTCATTTATTTATTTATTTATTTTTCACATCAGATGGGTCATGTGCCAAAGGCGTAACAAGGTTAATGGGCGGCACATCTCACACAGCCGCGTGAACACCCAATCATCACGCTTATGAACTCCGAAAGGATCTGATTCATTACTTTTTAAATGCTATGCCCTGTGCAATGAAAATTTTTAATTTTATCCTGCACTATTAACATTCTCCATTGTTTTCAGAACATCAGCCATCTGATCCTGTACTAAGCCCTGGCTTTGCAGTCTTCTGCATTTTCCTTATCTCCTGTCATCGGGGTTCTTGGGTTGGAAAAGGTCTCTCAGGAAGGCCAGAGGGCATCTGGGTGGGTAGGGTGTTTTAGAGTCCCAAAGCCAATGCAGCGGGAAATAGAGGGGCAGTGGTCAGGCTCCCTATGCCCTGGATCAGGAAATCCTAAATTTGAATTTAAAATCATCATCACTGGGACTGACATTGCAATATCCCCATCTGCCGCTCTCCTGTGAAAAACTAGTATGAGGAATGACCCCAGGCCAGAGCTATGGGAGAAGGTCAAGTGGTAAGGTGTCCACTTGTAGTAATGCAGCTGTGCCTGCAGCCTGCCTTGGCTCCAGCAACTCCATCCACTCCCTGCAGAGACCTTCCCAGGCAGGCACTTCTCACTCCCCCAATGCCCTCAAGCACCTTTGTCTGTGGGTGCATTTTAGTGAGAAATGGGACCTGTAAGAAGCCACTGACTCTGCTCTGCAGGGAGGCAGGTGCTGTGAGCGCACAGGTGTCATTGTGGTGTGTCCCATATCAAACTGCTGAAAATTTCAATGTCAGAGAAATGAAGTCAGCTCCCCAAGTTGGCACCACAGACAAGTGTCAGCTTCACGGGGCCGGATTTTAACCATTATTTTCTCCAGTGTCAGACACAGGCTCTACCACTGATGAGCAGCCCTCACCGGAGCAGGTACAGGATGAGGACCAGGGTGGCTCAGCTGCAGCTCCTGTTTCCATGGTTACACGTATGCGTTTCCTCCCGTTCCCTTTACATGTCAGAGCCCTTACCCTGGGCCTCTCTGTGTTCGGGGGGGACGCCATCATTTCTCAGCTGCAGTGGTTTCTCCAGGGGAACCTTTCAGGGTGAGTTGCAGTCTCCCTGCCTCCTCCTTAATCCCAGCACAGAGTTTGACCCACAAGAGATGTCTGTAAATTGGGCTGTGTTTCTGCACCGGTGGCCCCATGTTGGGTCTGGCTGTGACCCCACTTACTGTGATGAATTTCTTGCCTCAGTTTGACCTTTCAAATGATGTTCCTATGTGGCACTGACATTCACCCTGCAGGAGTGGATACAATTGGACATGAATTCTGGAACCTAATATTCGCGGGTGATGCTGGAGTTCTACATGATCCTGGTCTCATTGGATGGGTGCTCACCGCTTCTTCATGCATAGGACCCTCTGCCATGTGACTCTGTCCTCTATATCCCTACTGGGTGAATGAGACTATGGCTCTCACCATGTTCTTCCTGCAGCCCGGATCATGTTCTGGATTCACATCCTTCTTCCCACTCGCCTGTGTCTGCACTTTGGACTTTGGGTTGGAACAGAATCCTTACGAATACAGGCCCTCTCCACAGTACACAGCGCATGCTTACTGTGCTTTACCTGACAATCTACCTGACTGTCCACACACATTTTCTTATGTAGGTGAAGGTGGTTGTTTTTTGTTTGTTAGTTTTTTTAAATATTGATTTCAGAGAGGAAGGGAATAAGGAGAGAAACAACAATGATCAATGAGAGAATCATTGATCTTTGGCCTCCTGCTCATCTTCCCTACAGGGGATCAAGCCTGCAACCCAGGCATGTGCCCTTGACAGGAATTGAACCTGGGACCCTTCAGTCTGCAGGACTACACTCTATCCACTGAGCCAAACCAGCCAGGGGTGTGAAGGTGCTTTTTGAGTAAAGGTGCTTGCCTTTTGGGTCAGTTACTCCATTTCTCTCTGTCTTTTCCATGTTTATGGAGGTGTACATGTTAAGTTTTTAGGCAAGTTTGAATGAGTTAGAGACTTAAGCTCTGCAAGCTACAGTTGGCGTAAAGGCACCACGTGCCAAAATCCTGAATTAAGAAACACTACCTGCTATTCAGAAAGAGGGGGTCCTGAAGAAAGATTGCAAAGCCAGCCATGCAGGTGCAGGGGAAACAAACTTGCCCCAGACATCACCTCCCCTGAAGGCACTAGAGGACCCTTAGTGTACTTGGTGTGTTCTTGGGCTATTTCCCCTAAATCCACTCCTGGAGTCAAATGAGAAATATGGGAATTCTGGCCTCTAAGTAAGAGACTGCATTACCCACAAGGCGACGCGTGGAATGGCACCAGGCTGAGCCAATAGAGACTCTGAAAAGGCATTTCCGTTTGGTCACTTCCGGGGGCGAGACAATGGTCATCGTGGCGGGATTTGGCATTTCAGGTCGTTGTCTGAGTCCGCCAGGTTTTCTTAGTCACACCCTCCCTTGGAGAAGGTTGCAGAGTGGTGTTCCCCGCATCACAGCCTGTGGTGGGAGCCTCCCGTGGTGCTCACCGCTCACACGTGGGATTGAAGCTCGGAGTCACCGCCCGGACCCATTTCAGGGCCGGGACAGGCCCCGCTATTCCTGCCGCGGCTTCCGCTAACGCCGCCCCCGCCCCGCGCGGCCCACAGAGCGAGATGGCGGCGCCCGCGCTGTGGAGCTTCGCTGAGGTGAGTTCCTGTCCCCCAGGCTCCCCGCCTCCTCACCCCGCACCCCACAGCCCGGTGCGGGCCTGTCCCTCCTGCAGCTCCGTCCGCGGGGAGGACCGTGAGGAAGGCGGAGGGGAGGGAGGAGCGCGGTGGCTTCTGAGGACACAGCCAGTGCGGGGCGGAGAGGACAGGGGTGACGGGCCTCTGAGGTTCCCCTGAGGGTGTGGCTGTGAGGGTCGGCGGGCAGATCAGAGGCTGCAGGGAGGCCGTCACAGCCTCATGGGGTCTTTCCCGGCTGTGGGGTCCCTCAGGGGCCTGGGGTGGTCCTGGACCCGCTGGAAGACGGGCTTCTCCACATGCCATGTGCCAAGTTCATGGGGGAGTCCAGCGAGACCCAGTGGCATTGGAGCAGGAAGGGGGCAGAGCTGAGGGAGTGAACCTGGGACTGAAGATGGGAAGGGATAAACATTACCCAGTGTGTGAACATCTGGAGGAAGTGTGAGCTAATAGTCCCCTGGGACTTAAAGGCGAAACATAAACCCAGGCTTGGCTTTGTGTTGGAGGCATGATCTAGAATCATGATCAGGAATTTGTGGCTCGCGAGCCACATGTGGCTCTTTGGCCCCCTGAGTGTGGGCTCTTCTACAAAATACCATGGCCTGGGAGAGTCTATTTTGAAGAAGTGACGTTAGAAGAAGTTTAAGTTTATAAAATTTTGCTCTCAAAAGAAATTTCAATCTTCCTACTGTTGATATTTGTCTCTGTTGACTAATGAGTTTGCCGACCAACGGTCTAGGAGATTGCAGTGGCAATATTGCTTGGCAGGAAGGTTAGGATCCTGCACGCATTGTCCAGACCTTAAATGGCATTACTCTCTCTTTTCCCCTTCCCTCCCCTCCACCAATCCATTACAACCCAGCTGAGGACAATCCCAGTGGGTAATGGGACTGTGATGAGGAGAGCAGCCTGCACTGGCATTAGGGCTTGGTGTCCTCACTAACCGGATGCCCTGGAGGAGGTTGAGGGTGGGGAAGGTGAGTAAGGAGTAAGAGTTGGGGTTCTCAGGGAGATGCTGCTGTTTTTTATTATCTCAATTCTGACAGGTTGGAGTGACCTTGGAGGACATTGCCCTGTACTTCTCCAGGGAGGAATGGAGCCTCCTTGATGAGGGTCAGAGACAGCTGTACCTGAATGTGATGCTGGAGAACTATGAACTTGTATCCTCACTGGGTAAGACCTTCACTCTTACCAGTGACCTGGACTTGGCTTTGGGATTTCCCAGGCCCCATCTCTCAGGTGTGCTCTTCTAAGGTAGACTGTGGTTCTGCTTGATTTTCCAGTTTCCTGGGTGGTTGCTGTCCTGGGAGAATTGGTCTGTATCTGCTGCTCCCTTCTTTCCTGAAGTCCCAATTTTCCCCACTGGACTAAGTTCACAGGGAAGGACTTGTGGTTGGTAGTGTTGCAGGAAGCCTGAGGGATTCCACCTTGATTAGTGAGGAAAGCATTTTCTATATTGCTGTTGGCCATGTGTAAATATTTTTGAAAAATTATCTCTACATTCTTACCCTGTTTATGAACTATATTTTTTTTGTTAAAGAATCTTTTTGGATACCTTGTATATTTTATATATTAATTGCTTACGACATACAGGAACACATATTTTGCATGAGGTTAATTTTGCTTTTCAGATTACTCCCCCACACCTGCTTTTCTACCAAGTCCATGTTTTTGGCAACCCAGCATTCAGCAGGTTAGTGCAACCATATTGCTAGGAATCTCAGATGCATATTACCAGTGCTTAGCAATAAAATGCTTTTAATGAAGTTATATTGAGTTTGCTTTGGAGACAGAGTCATTGCATTGTTGTTAGCCTGCAGTATTGTATTAACATCCCTTCATTATTTCTGGGGAACTCCAATGGTTTATAGGAATCTCTGTCTGTATTGCAATATTTGCTTTATTGTGTTGATCACAACTGAATCCACATCCCTTCAGGCGATTCCTTCATATGGTTTGGAAGTATTTTCTTCAATCCTCTAGATTGTGTTTCATTTCATTTTGTTTATTGCTGTTGTTCAGTGAAGACGCTATTTTTCATTTGTTGCACTGTGGACTGTTTATTTTTTCTATTTTGTGTGGTGGTTGGTGTCACATCAAGAAACTCCTGTCCAAAACAAATCTCCAAAACTTTTTCTCTAGATTGTCTTGAGGAGTTTTAAGTTTTAGCACTGACTTTTAATTCTGTCATGTAGGTTGAGTTAAATTTTATCGGTGGTGTTCAGTGTTGTGGTTACATGTAAGTATTGATTTTCAGCAGCATCATTCATTAAAGAAACTATCTTTCCCTTCTTCTGTGTCTTGCAGCTTTGTCAAAGATTACTTAAACATGTGTGCCTGTATTTATTTCTGTGTTTTCTGTTCTGTTCTGTTGATATATGTGTTTATGTTTCTCTGGGAACACGCTGTTTGCTTGCTTTCTCTATTTAATAAGTTGAAATCAAAAAGTGTGATTCTGCTGAAATCGGTTTGACTCAGTGGATAGAGCATTGGCCTGTGGACTGAAGAGTCCCGGTTTCAATTCCGGTCAGGGGCATGTACCTTGGTTGTTGGCACATCCATGGGGGTGGGGGTGGGGGGGGTTGCAGGAGGCAGCTGATTGATGTTTCTCTCTCAGATTTTTCTAGCTCTCTATCCCTCTCTCTTCCTCTCTGAAAAATCAGTAATAATAATTTAAAAAAAGCATGATGAGCATTTAAAAAAAAAGAAGTGTGATTACACCAGCTTTTTTCTCACTCAAGATTGCTTTTGTTAATGGAGGTCTTCTAATTCTACAGATTTTCCAATCATTTCTTTGTAAAATACCATTGGAGTTATTGGGATTGCATTTAATCTGTAGGTTGCCTTGTGTACTGCAACAGATATCTCCACCATATTTCTTTTTTCTTTTTTCTTTTCTTTTATTGATTTTTTTACATTCTCTTTTTGTCTTTTGCTTTTGGGATTTTAATTATAATGTCTTGGTGTGGTCTTCTTTGGATTCCTTTTGTTTGGGTTCTGTGCACTTCTTGGACTTATAAGTTTATTTCTTTAAACAGTTGGGGGAAGCTTTCTTTCATTCTGTCTTAAAATAGGTTTTCTGTATTTTGCTCTCTCTCTTCTCTGGCACCCCCATAATTTGGATATTGGTACATTTGAAGTTATCCCAGAGGCTCCTTATCCTATCTTCATATTTTTTTTGTTGATATTTTCTTTTTCTTTTTTTTGCTTTTTCTATTGGGTGTTTTTTGCTTCTCTGTATTTCAAATCTTTGACCTGATTCTTGGGATTCTCTAGTCTGCTGTTGGATCTTCGTATACTATTATTATTTTTTTCCCCCCTTTACATTTTATTTTTTAAATCTTTATTGTTCATATTATTACAGATGTTCCTCTTTCTCCCTCCTCCCCCCCCCCTAGTAGCTCCCCTCCCGTATATTATTTTTTATTTCAGTTAGTGTATGTTTAATTTCTAGCTGGTCTTTTTTCCTGTGGGCTGTTTTGTTCATGCATAGCTGTCTACTTTACTGGGATTGGGGGAGATGCTCATATTTCTGATTCTGCCAAATTGCAGACGTCACTCACATAGGTCTTTTGCCTGTGATATGTTTTGTCCCCAGTTATTCTACCATAGTGTTGACCACCCATCTTTTCTGTTTGTCTTTGAAGATTTGCATCATTTGTCCCATGCAATGGCTCAAATGAGCTTTATGGGGTAAAATCATTTGTGCATCACAGAAGAAACGTGACTTTATGAATGACACAGTGGACCCACAGGTGGTTGGGCCTTTGTGAAGGTTCCTTGAGGAGGCTTTCATGCCTGGTCTTTGTTTTTTGTTGTTGTTTTTTTAAATATATTTTATTGATTATTTTTCAGAGTGGAAGGGAGAAGGATAGAGAGTCAGAAACATCAGTGAGAGAGAAACATTGGTCAGGTGTCTCCTGCACACCCAATGGTGGGAATCTGTCCGCAACCAAGGTACATGCCCTTGACCAGAATTGAACCTGGGACGTTTGTTTTCCCAGGCCGACACTATCCACTGAGCCAAAACTGTTAGGGCAGGAACCATAAATTGAACCTTTAAAACTTGGATACATAGGACAATGCTCCAACCAACTGAACCACACTGGCCAGGGCATTGTGTACTTTTTAAAAAGAAAAATTTCCAGTTTTTCCGTAAACACTTTGGCTCAGTGACAGAGCATCAGACTGCAGACTGAAAGGTCCCAGGTTCGATTTCTGTTAAGGGCATGTACCTTGGTTTCAGGCACATCCCCAGCAGGAGGTGTGCAGGAGGCAGCTGGTGGTTGTTTCTCTCTCATTCATGTTTCTAACTCTCCCTTCTTCTCTGTAAAAAAATCAATAAAATATATATTAACTGCTGAAACCGGTTTGGCTCAGTGGATAGAGCGTTGGTCTGAGGACTGAAAGGTCCTAGGTTCCATTCCGGTCAAGGGCATGCACCTTGGGTGTGGGCACATTCCCAGTAGGGGGTGTGCAGGAGGCAGCTGGTTGATGATTCTCTGTCATCGATGTTTCTAACTCTCTATCCCTCTCTTTCTCTCTGTAAAAAAATCACTAAAATATATTGAAAGTATATATATATTAACTTTTCCCCCCAGTTTTTTTTAGAACAGGCCACTAGAATCAATGAGAATAGAGGCAGAGTGACTAATAGTGGTAATGCTGACCCGATATTTTTATTTTATTTTTTATAAAATTTATTTTTATTGATTTCAGAGAGGAAAAGAGGGTGAAAGAGATGGAAACATCAATGATTAGAGTGAATGATTGATTGGCTGCCTCCTGCACACTACCTCAAGGGGTCCGAGTCCACAACCAAGTCATGTGCCCTTAATAGGAATACAACTTGGGATTCTTCTGTCCAAAAGCCAATGCTCTATACACTGAGCAAAACCAACTAGGGTCAAAAATTTTTTTTTTTTTTAATAATTTAGTGACTTTTAAAAATATATATATTTTTTTGATTTTTGCAGAGAGGAAGTGAAAGGGATAGAGTTAGAAACATCGATGGGAGAGAGTCATCGATCAGCTGCCTCTTGCACACCCCTTACTGGGGATGTGCCTGCAACCAAGGGACATGCCCTTGACCAGAATCAAACCCGGGACCTCTCAGTCCGCAGGCTCTACCACTGAGCCAAACCGGTTTCGGCTAGGGTTAAATTTTTTAAAATACCTTTTTAATGATTTATGAGAGGAAGGGGGAGAAAGAAAGAGAGGGATAGATAGACATTAATGATGAGAGTGTATCATTGGTGAGCTGTCTCATTTATGCCCCTTATTGGGAATGAACCCACAACAAATGTCATGTGCACTTGACTGGAATGAAACCTATGACTTTTTAGTCCACAGGCTGACCCTCTATTCACAGGGCAAACCAGCTAGGGTAGAACCTTTATTTTATTTTATTTTATTTTTTCTTAATTAATCTTTGTTTTTGACCTTTGGTATCTTCAAATGTGTTTGCTCACCCAGTTTCCTGTCATCCTTTCTATGCAGTTGTCTTTTTTTGGTATTCTGTATTACTTATCTTCATGGAACTCTTATTCCCATTTCCTATGGGATGTTTTTCTCATTGATAACTTTACTTACTCTATGATGGGGAAAGATTCTCATATCTCTGATTCTGCCATCTTTTGATTTTACTCTCATAGGTCTTTTGCCTGTGATCTCATTTGTGCTTTGTTGTTCTCTCACAGTGCAGACCATTCATCCTTTTAATGTTTCTTTTTTGTTTAAGGGTAGATTTTCTTTTTAGATTGGCATTATTCATCCCATGCAGTGCCTCAACTAGGATTTAAGAGGCAGAATTCTTTGTGCATCACAAGAGAAACATGATTTTATTGATGACGGGGTAGACCCAGAGGCAATCTTGCCTTGAGGAAGGACTCTGGGGGCGGTTTTCATGCCTAGGCTTTTTTACTTTCATAACTAGAAACCCATTTTGTTCAACAATGTTTTTTACCATTACCCACTCCTCAACCAATTCTACTTCTTCATGCTTAATATTGACACATTGTATACGACTCAGTTTTTTAAATTTATATATAAATATTTTATTGGTATTTTATAGAGAGGAAGGGAGAGGGACATAGAGCCAGAAACATCCATCAGCTGCTTCCCACACTCCCCACTGGGGATGTGCCGCAAGCAAGGTACAAGTCCTTGACTGAAATCGAACCCGGGACCCTTCAGTCCCCAGGCCAACGCTCTATCCACTGAGCCAAACTGGTTTTGGCACGACTCAGTTTTAATAGTGATCATTCTACTCGGATTACCAGCCCATGAATAACCTTATCCTCTGTAAACTTTGAACCTCTACCTCTTTCACACATCTCGCTTTACTGTATTCCAATATTGTTCCAATCCTGCAATGCCTTAGAGTGCATACAAGTTATATTAACTCTGAACATCATGTGCTCTAATATGATTAATTGTTTATGGGTTTGAACACATTGAAATTATTCTACACAGACTCAACATCGGCAGCATGAAAGGTCCTAAAAAGAAGCCACTTGTGGAGTAATAACGGGTAAACCCTGCCTCTCTTGTTTTTGTCCCAGCTTATGCTCTGTCCTCCCTTGGTGAGATTTTCATCATCCATGTACCTTTTGGGCTATGTTATATATATCTGCCATTTCCTGAGAGTCTGACTTTTCTTGAAAATCAGTGAATAGAATCATGTCCAGATGTGGCAAATCAATATAGGTAATGAACATATTCTGTTTTTATCAGGTCAACATGCACTTCACCTACGTTTATTTTTGTTCAGGTTGCTGCTGTGGACTAGAGAATGTGGAGGCCCAGACTGAACAGAAGGTTTCTGTAAGAATGTCACAGGCAAGGAATCCCAAGGTAGCCTTGTCTTCTCAGAAGAGCCACCCCTGTGAGAGCTGTGGGCTCATATTGGGAAACATTTTGCACATGACTGAGCTGCAGGGAAATCAGTACAGACGGATACTGTTGAGATGTGGGGCATGTGCAAAACGATTTTATTTCAGTGCAAAATTTCACCAGCAGCATGTGAGAGAGAATACTTTAATTAGAGATATGGAAAGGATCCCACTTGCAAACGACTGCAATTTCAATGTGTTTCAGAATCGTTTTACATCCGGGGAGGTTGGACAGAGTTGTCACACTGGCGAAAAGTCTTATAAATGCAGTGAATGTGGAAACTCTTTTAAAAGTAGAAATGGTCTCCGATATCATCAGAAAGTTCACATTGGAGAAAAGCCTCATCAATCCAGTGAATGTGGAATATCTTTTATCTCCAAGACTGTACTTCATCAACATCAGAGAGTTCATCTGGGAGATAAGCCTTATAAATGCAGTGAATGTGGAAAATCCTTTGCAAGCAGCTATGGTTTCAGATATCATCTGAATGTTCACACTGGAAGAAAGCCTTATAAATGCTATGAATGTGGAAAATCGTTTACTGGGAGCAATGCTCTCCAGTATCATCAGAGAGTTCACACTGGAGAAAAGCCTTATAAATGCAGTGAATGTGGAAAATGTTTTGCAGGGAGCAATGATCTCCAATATCATCATAGGATTCACACTGGAGAAAAGCCTTATAAATGCAGTGAATGTGCGAAATCTTTTACAAGGAGTACTGGTCTCAAATTTCATCAGAGAGTTCACACTGGAGAAAAGCCTTATGAATGCAGTGAATGTGGAAAATCTTTTACCTGGAGCAGTACTCTCCAATATCATCAGAGAGTTCACACCGGAGAAAAGCCTTACAAATGCAATAAATGTGGAAAATCTTTTACAGGGAGTAAAGGTCTGCAATATCATCAGAATGTTCACACTGGAGAAAAGCCTTATAAATGCAGTGAATGTGGGAAATCTTTTACTCAGGCAACTGCCCTTCGTTATCATCAGAGACTTCACACAGGAGAAAAGCCTTATGAATGCAGTGAGTGTGGGAAATCTTTTAGAAGTAACAATGGTCTCCAATATCATCACAGTGTTCACACTGGAGAAAAGCCTTATAAATGCAATGAATGTGGAAAATCTTTTACAAGTTACAGTAGTCTCCAATATCATCAAAGAGTTCACACTGGAGAAAAGCCTTATCAATGCAGTGAATATGGCAAGTCTTTTACCCAGAGTAGTCATCTTCCTAAACATTGCAGACTTCATTCAGAAGAAAAGTCTTATCAATGAAATGAATGTGGGGAATCTTTTACCTTAAGAACGTCCTTCATCAACATCAGAGAGTTCATGCAAGAGAAAAGCCTTATAAATGCAGTGAATATGGAAAATCTTAGACAACTAAAAGTCTCCAAAATTATCAGAATTCACACTGGAGAAAGCCATTATGAGTACAATTAATGTGAGGTTCCTCTCTGCCAAATTTCTAAATTTGCTCTCTGCATAGGAGTAAAAATGTGAGAAATTTCTTAGATGTGTAGGAAATGTAACTTCTTAGTTAGGACTTTACAATAGTACAAGAAAATTTGTGAATCCTCATTTTTCTGAATTGCGTCTCATACATTTAATCACCTATGTTATGTAAAGTTCCCAATAGTGTTTTTGCTGTTGTGTTTGTTTTTATGTTGGAACACTATGTAATTATGTTGCACTTTCTAACATACAGAGATGTCCAGCCAGATCTGTGTCACAGCACATTTCTGTTGCTGCAGGTATTTCACCCAAACATCTTATGAGGTCCCTACTGATGGTATCAGTCAGCATCCTCATGTACCCAGGGAAGCTAACTCTGTTGTCTAATTTGTTGAAGAAAATTAGGAATATCTGAGCCCTTAGTTCTTACTTGTTTCCCTGTCATGAGTTACCACATAGGACTGATAAGTGTTGGCCTCATTAAACATAATGTTGCAGAAGAATTGCTATTTTCATGGATACACTTATTGTAGATGCTAATGATGAATTTATTGAGTGTCTAAGTCATCAGTGGGAGAAGTGCCAGTTTCCGGTTTCTTTCTGTGCAAAATAATGAAGGATTTGCCGAAACCAGTTTGGCTCAATGGATAGAGCGTCGGCTTGGGGACTGAAGGGACCCAGGTTTGATTCCAGTCAAGGGCATGTACCTTGGTTGCGGGCATATCCCCAGTAGGGGGTGTGCAAGAGGCAGCTGATCGATGACTCTCTTGCATCGATGTTTCTAACTCTTTATCTCTCTCCCTTCCTCTCTGTACAAAATCAATAAAATATATATTTTTTTAAAAAATAATGAAGGATTTATCCTAAGACTTCTTTAACTTAATCTTTTTTTAAAAGAGTAAATCTTAATTTTTCAGATTATTTTAATTGTCCCCCACCCTCTCCGCCCCCACCATAGATTCCCTGTACCTGGTTCCCAACCCACCCTCGGCCCTCACCTGCCTCCCACTTTCCTCATCCTTAGATGTACGATTTTTGTCTAGTCTCTTGCAGCATTCCCCACACTCCCTCCCCCCTCCAGAACTCTGTTGGTTCCCTTTCTATGCCCCTGATTATATTATATTTAGCAGTTTATTCTGTTCATCAGATTTTTAATTCACTTGATTTTTAGATTCACTTGTTGATAGATATGTATTTGTTATTCATAACTTTTATCATTCCCTTTTTCTTCTTTTTTTTAAAAATATATTTTATTGATTTTGTAGAGAGGAAGGGAGAGAGATAGAGAGTTAGAAACATGGATGAGAGAGAGTCATCGATAAGCTGCCTCTTGCACACCTCCTACTGGGGATATGCCTGCAACCAAGGTACATGTCCTTGACCGGAATCGAACCCGGGACCTTTCAGTCCCCAAGCCGACGCTCTATCCATTGAGCCAAACTGGTTTCGGCCCCTTTTTCTTCTTCTTAAAGAATACCTTTAGCAATTCATATAATACTGGTTTGGTGTTGATCAACTCCTTTAGCTTTTTCTTATCTGTGAAGCTCTTCAGCTGACTTTCAATTCTTAATGACAGCTTTGCTGGGTAGAGTAATGTTGGTTGTAGGTTCTTGCTGTTTATCACTTTCTGCTTTTAATGTTCTTTATTTGTCTTTTGCTCTTGGCATTTTAATTTATGATGTGTCTTGGTGTGGTCCTCTCTGGATTCCTTTTGTTTGGAGTTTTGTAGGCTTCCTAGACTTGTAAGTCTATTTCTTTCACCAGGTGGGGGAAGTTTTCTGTCAATTCTGTCTTAAAAAAGGTTTTCCGTATCTTGATCTCTCTCTTATTCTGGCACTCCCATAATTCTGATGTTGGTACACTTGAAGTTGTCCCAGACTTCAAGTGTCAAACTCAATCAGAGAAGGGGCCAAAATCTAAAATCCAGCCTAAATCGCGGGCCGAATGGTTTACTGAACAGTCATAAACTGTCATTGTGATGGAAACGCAGCGGAATGCAGTGATGACAGCGCGGTGCGGGCCACATTGCAAGGCCTGTCGGGACGGATTTGGCCCGCGGGCCTTGTGTTTGACACGTGTCCCAGAGGCTTCTTCTACTATCCTCAAATTTTTGGATTCTTTTTGCTTTCCTGGTCCAGTATTTTTTGCCTCTTTGTATTTCAAATGTTTGACTTGATTCTTGCATTCCTCTATTCTGCTGTTGGGTCTCTGTATAATATATATATTTTTAAATATATTTTTATTGATTTTTTTTACAGAGAGAAACATCGATGAGATAGAATCATAGATCAGCTGCCTCTTGAACACCCCCTACCAGGGATCTGCCTGCAACCAAGGTACATGCCCTTGACCGGAATCAAACCCGGGACCTTTCAGTCCGTAGACTGACGCTCTACCACTGAGCCAAACTGGTTTCGGCTGTACAATATTTTTTATTTCAGCTGAAACCGATTTGGCTCAGTGGATAGAGCGTCGGCCTGCGGACTGAAAGGTCCCGGGTTTGATTCCAGTCAAGGGCATGTACCTTGGTTGCAGGCACATCCCTGGTGGGGGGGGCGTGCAAGAGGCAGCTGATCGATGATTCTCATCGATGTTTCTATCTCTCTCTCTTCCTCTGTATAAAAAAATCAATAAAATATATTTTAAGAAAAATTTTTTTTATTTCAGTCAGTGTATGTTTATTTTTTAGTTGGTCTTTTTTCACATCCTCGGGGGTCTTGCTAAATTTATCAGCTTTTTCTTGGAAATTCTTGGAAAACCTTATAACCTAGATATACAGTTTTGAACTGTATATTTAGTTGTTTGATTTCTTACATTTCTTTTGCTTGTAATCTGTTTTTTGTGTGTGTGTCTTTTGCATTTTTGCTGTCTCCCTGAGTTGGTAGTGTAACTTTGTGTGCTAGGTGTTACAGCCTCCCCCGTTACCTGAGGTGGACACTTTTGGTGTACCCCTTGTGGACTGTGTGTACAGCCTTGTTATAGTTAAGCCTTGGTTATTGTTGGTATCACTAGGAGAAATTGTCCTCCAGGCCAATTGTCTGTGAGGATAAGCTGTAGTCTATATTAGTAGACAGCCTTATTTGACAAGTTTTTTTTTAAAAAAATTATCTTCCCATTTATTTATTTATTTTTACATATTTTATTGATTTTTTTTTGCCTCCCTCCCTCCCACACATCCCTTCCCTCTCCAGAGTTTTATGTCCATTGGTTGTACTTATATGCATGTATACAAGTCCTTCAGTTGATCTATTATCTCCCCAGATCCTCATCCCCTCCCCGCTGTAATTTGACAAACTGCTTGTTGCAGTTTTTTATCTTTTTTAAAAATTATATTTTGATGCATTACAAATAGTACACATGTCTCCTTTTCCCCCTCTTGACCTCCTCCCAGCCTTCTTTACCCCTTACTCAACAAGTCTTGGAAAATTGCAAAAGCCTTTGTGCTCAGTTTGGATGGGGCGGAGTTTCAGGGTGGAGCCCACAGAATTGGCTTTCTGTCAGCCCCGCCCTATGAGGTGTGGCTCAGTGCTTGGCCATCATCTCCTGCAATACAGGGTTGTAGATTTAATTGCCGGTAGGGATATATGCTGAGTTGTGGGATAGGTCCACAGAAGTAAGTGTGAAGTAAGTCACTGGCCAATATGGCAATCTTCCATCAATGTTTCTCTCCCTCTCACTTCTCTATAAAAATGACTGAACTTATTTTTAATATATACATATATATATATTTTTTAATTTTTTTTTTTTTACAGAGGATGAGAAAGGGATAGAGAGGTCGTAACACCCATGAGAGAGAATCGTTGATCAACTGCCTCCTGCAAAACTCCTATTGGGGATGTGCCTGCAACCAAGGTATATGTCCTTGACCGGAATCGAACATGGGACCTTTCAGCCTACAGGCTGTTGCTTTGTTCACTGAGGCAAATGGGCTAGTGCAATAAACTATTCTTTGAAAATAAAAAATAAACCTTTATCTATCAGGTTTGGATCAATGGATTGAGTGTCAGTGTGGGAGTAAATGTTCCCAAATGGGATTCCGGCCAAGGGCACATGTCTGGGTTGGGGGCTGAATCCCCAGTAGTGGGTGTGCAGGAGGTACCATCAATGATTCACTCCCCCTCTCCCTTCCTCTCTGAAATCAATAAGAAATTAATTTTTTTTAAATTTCTTTATTGATTAAGGTATCACATATTTGTCCTCAATCCCCCATTCCAATCCCCCACTCATGCCCCTATCCCCCTATTGTACTTGATCACTGGTTAGGCTCATATGTGTGCACATAAGTCCTTTTCTCCCTTTTATCCCCACCCTCCCTTTGAGGTTCAGTAGTCTGACCCTGGCTCCTTATCTCTGGGTCTGTTCTTATTCATCAGTCTATATTCACCATTTCCCCTAGATGAGTGAGATCATGCCCTACTGGAAATATACTTACAAGAATAAAAAATGAGATAAGCAAGAATCGTTATGTTGAAAGGCATATTAATCAGTCTGCAGTGAGTTTCTGGGTCACCAGTTCTTTTGAGACCCAAT